CTTTCACTACTGTGGAAATGTGAGACTTGGACATCCCTGTGGGTCCTATTTTCGATAATCCAAAGTCAGAAAACTTAGCCACCCATTTTTCATCAAACTAAAATGTTCATCGTCTTCACGTCACGATTATTGATATTTCGCATCGCACCTGTATGAAGATAATGTACTCCTTGCGCTGCACCCAGGCAAATTTTCAACCTCTGCTTCCGGGAAAAGGGGATGGTTGTTAGAATTGTAAAGATGGTCACGGAGGGTCCCGCGAGCCATGAACTGATAGACGAGGATCATTTTGTTGCCATCGTTGCAGTAGCCAATGAGAGAGACCAAGTGATTGTGACGAAGCTGGGAGAGCATTTCAATCTCAGTTCGGAACTCGTGGAGCCCTTGTTGTGACCCTTGTTTGAGTCGTTTGATTGCCACTGGAGTTTGACCGTCGTTAATGTCACCTTTGTAGACGTTGCCGAATCCTCCGACTCCGATGAGGAAGTGTTCATCGAAGTTTTTGGTGGCGGCTCTGATCTCAACGGTGGGAAAGTGATGGCACAATTCCGTCCGTGCAATTGAGCCGCTGGTAATATAAATAATTGAAAGCGCTTGAAAATTCCATAATCGCTCGACTTGACGTTCATCCCGCGAGTAATAAGGTAGAAAGCAACAATGAAAACCAAAATGGCGACGAAAGCTGCAGTGCAAACCACGACCCCGATTGTCTTGCTTCTTCTTCTCTGATTTTCTCGGGGTAGCTCATTAGAATTGGGTGGTGGAGGAGGAGGAAGATAAGAGTTGGGTCCGGCGAGATTTCGATCACTGATTTTGAAAATCTCAAGTCCGTTCAAGAATGCATCACTGTACTGAATCATCGATTCCGAGACAGGATGCATTTTGAGTGAAAGAGAACTGGTTTTCCATCACCTGCGACAATTACGGCATAGTCTTTATATACCGGAACTGCTTTTCCCTTTGCCCACTTCAACACATTCGCCCTAGGCTCAGCTAACTGGTCGGCTATGTAAATATCAAACATTCTGTTGTAGGAATCGTTGATACCTGGAGTAAGCTCACAAAAATGGAGTCTCAGCATGTAGATAAAGCCTGAATCGATGGGAAACTCCCAAGTAAGGTTAGTGTTCTTGTTCAAAGTTTTATTCATCCCCGTATTGCGTTCTGTTCGGTAGACTCGCTCAGGTACTGTGTAATTAGGAACTTTAGTGAATATCAGGGGTCTTCTCTCACCCTCAAAATCGGAGCATTCCTGTGTCATCCGTATCTGAGATTTCGCACCCACCGACATTAAGCCGGCCGTACTCTGGCTGGAGAGCAACGTTGGTGGGAATGTAAAACATGACCTCCGCACCAATTAAATCGAATCCAGGGCTATCAGCTTTAGTGTAATAGAGATAATCAGGCATGGATACGATCTCGATCCCATTAACAAATGCATATGATGCTGGATTTGTTGAATTTGGAGTGAAAGTTAAGTTGAGATTCCCACCATTGCCAACGTTGACACAATATTCTCTGAGGATGGTATCTTCATGTTTGGAATCGGCCGTGACCGAAGCATTGAAATCCTGAAGGAGTGTGAACCCACCAGATTTGACAGTGAAGAAGGCATCGAAACGGTTAAAACCTGGGTAAGAAGCTGGGTAGAAGAAGAGGCGGATGAATTTCTGGCCTGGAGACACAGGGAATGAATAGGAGAATTGGGAACGAGATAGACGAGCTGTGGTGTGAGGGACTTGTTGAGCAGAAGGAGATTGAGTAAGTGCTGTAACTGCAACAGATTCGTCTTGTTTTGATAAGAACTTTGAGTCGATATCTCCGGTCCATGTCCGGTCATTTCCCGATGGTCCTTAATGATGCAGAAGTAGTATAATTAATGAGGCTCATCTCTGGAAGAAGTAGACGAAGTCAGGTTTTGATGGAAGTAAATTTTGTAGTTCAATAAGAGAAATCAGTTCCCGCTTTATAGGAGTTGGGTTCACGGATGCTAGTAGTTGCTTGCGAGGAAGCTTCTCGGGAGAGTAAACGTTCAAAGTCTATACAATAAAACATCGTCCGTTGACTCCTTCTACTGTTCATGCCGCGTGGACCACTAACAAGTGGGGAGTCTCATAAACGGTCTATGTGACGGAGCAACAATTGAGGGGAACCACACCATGCTTTTGTCCATCACAGCATACTTTCTCCTCAATCCTCATTATTCACTTTTGGTTAATTTTAATCTGCAGTGTTTGGATTTTATACCCGTAGCCCGTAGGAGCTTGTTAGAGTTTTTTTTTTTTTAACGAAATGTAAAAATTTAATTCATTTTATCTTTTAAATTTATAATTAGATAAAGGTTCACTTAACATTGTGATGATATTTCTCAAATATACCTAACATTCTAATTCTTTTAGTTGAACAATTTTACCCACAATCTATTAAATGTTTGGTGCACTCTAACTCATGCTTTAGTTTTTTGATGTGATTGTAATTTGGTTACATTATATAAAAGTTGTTAATGATTTTATAAGAGAAACAAAAATTATTGGTTTTAACCGTTAATATCAACAAAAGAAAAATAGTTATTTAAAATAAATTTTAAAAAACGATGAGATTGCATCAAATTTAAGTATCATGGCTAAAATTGTACCACTAAAAAAATTATAGTGCTTAGTGCATCTGAAAAATAAAATCAGGATGTTTGGTACCATTTTATCCCTTATAATTTTTTTGTTCATTGTTCGAAATGGCCATAGTATCAAATATGAAAATTAACCACCAATAAAGTCAATCATTGGTGATGACTTATAATGTTTGAGAATATTGGAAAAGGATAATAACAAAAATGAATCTAGATGGTAAATAGTATAGGAATCAATTCTTGTATTAATAAAAAGGTACTTTAAGTGGCAATAAATTGGTGAAATTAAATAAGTTATTTATGCACAGCTAAGCCAATGATATTACAGATCTTCTGAAACAACCAGAGATTTAAGATTACTTCGCAATATTCTTTCCGACCTGTTAAAAAAAAAAAAAATCTTCACAATAAATATTAATATGTACTTGAAATATGCCTTTCTATTTTCTCTTTTTGTTTTTGGTATTGAAATATAATATAATATATTAATATTCCACTATATATTATAATATATAATTATATATTTTAAGGTTGTATAGCTTGTCCGCGGCCGAGCCCTATGAATAGCCTGGACTGAAAATGGCCCTTTTTTCCCTGTTGTTTTTGTCAAGTGGGGAGGGTCATTTGTTTTTACGGGTTTATCATGAGGTCAACCGGCATCATGAACATCCTATGGTGCATGTAAAGAATCGATATGAAAGTTGTGTCGATATTTATAAAAAAAAAAATTATTGGTCACATTTTTTATACCGTCGTCGCAGCATGAATGGGTAGATAATGCGGTTTAAAAAAGAACTTTTCTTTTCTAGTAGTGAAGTGTGCATTGTATTTAATTGATGGACATAGTATATGACTTGCCGGTAGAGCCGTGAAAATGAGTCAAACTCATTAGGTCAGTCGGTTTAAGCTTTTTTAAGTGAAGGGCTAGGTTTTTATTTTAGAAGATTAAAAAAATGGGCTTAAAAGAATTAACCCCTTAGGGCTAAGAAATAAAAAGATCAGCTCTTTTAAGCCGCCCTTCTTTTTTATCATTATTATCGAAATATTTATATACTCCTCCGGTCCTTATTATAAGACCCCATTTGACTTTTTATTTGGTCCTAATTATAAAACTCCAATCCATTTTGTCTCTTATATTTATGCATTTTTTTCCAAGATAATCCTTCTAATAATGATAGTTTTAGCCAATATACTTAATTAGCAAGGATATTTTAGGAATGACAACACTTATTTATTATAAATAACCAACTTAACTTACTTCCTTAATCTATTCAAATAAGTCAATTGGGTCTTATAATTAGGACCGGAGGAGTAATTATAGATTAGTCTTTTATAGACAAATCTAAACTAACAGATTATTGAGAAGAATCAATACTTAAGATAATTAAAAAGAATTAGATTCTTGAACTGGTGGAAGAACAATTAAAATCAATTCCAAATTCTTTCAAGAATAGTAGCTGATATTCTTAGCATTTGAATCACTACAGTAGCCGGTGAATCTTCTACAGTAGCGAATGACAATTTCAGTAGGATTTGCATTGGGTGCTCATCAAAATTGATGAGCACCCAGTGCTTATTAGATCTGAACCATCCAGATCCAATCTGGACGATTCAGATTTAATTTAATTTTTATTTTTTTAAAATAATTATTTTAATAGGATATGATAAAAATAAAGATAATTTTTTAATTATCATTCTTTTAAAAATAAATTTTTTATTTTAAAATAATTATTTAAAAATATTTAATCTGGACTGTTAAAATTAGATCTAAACAATCCAAATTGCTCATCAAGTGATGAGCAGTGGGTGCTCATTGCTTGATGAGTACCAAATATGGACCCTTTTGAGCACTGCTTCAGTACCTTCCCGTCAGTCTTCAGTTTCATTGCCATCCCCTTGAATGAGATACATCCCACTGCACATTTATCCTCATATAGTTTCCCTACTAAAAATAAAATTAGAAGGAAAAATAAAATAAAGAATGATAAAAACTTAACTTAATCTTTTATAAAATTATTTTTGTATAAAATAGTGAAATTAATTATTGAGCTTAAAATTAATTTAAGTTAATAAATTTAAATATTTTACAAATATCAAAAGAAGGACTTACATTATATCTCTTATTTTCATTATCTTAAGGTCTCCAATCACACATGATTATTTGTCTTTTAGTTTTATATGAATTTAGAGTTTAATTATAATATTTTAAAAATTATAACACATAACTATATGTAATTAAAAATTTAACATAATAAATATAAACAACGAAAAAACAAAATATTTATTTATTTATTTATTTATTTATTAGAAAACACTGGATCCCCGTGGTTTACTTTTCAACAAGTCGTCTTGACGTCCGTGCTTTAATAGACGACCATGGCGTGTGAATAAACAATACTCACGCAACAGACAGAGCTCTCGAACAGCAAAAATGAAGAAGACACTCTCACTTATCTTCATCATGCTGATGGTCCTACTGGTTCACGCAGATCTGAGCAGAGCAACCTCAGGGAACCTCAACCATAGCTTCACCGCCGAGTGCGGCTCTGGAGACTGCCTCATCGGCGATGAAGTCGACGTGGTCGCCGAGTTCCAGATGAATTCTCACGCAGCAAGGATGCTTTACGATGTCAGCAGGTCTATCACTGGGAGAACACCGAACCGCGAGCAGGCTTCTGTGGATTGCCCTCAAACACAAGGATACCGAACCTGCCTTCCCACTGCAAATGGAGGCGCTCCGAGACAAAAATGCGGCGATTACACTCGGAATTGCTGAGAAATTAGTCAGTGTCTTGTGGTTTGATTAAAAATTGTGATCTTATGGTGTTTGTTGCTCTGTTTTAGCGCTTTCGGTTCCCTTGTATATGTAATTCTGGGTTTTTACCACTTTCTGTGTATCGTGAGAAAGAATAATAATGAATCGCACCTGTGATAAAATAATAAGAGATTGTGATTAGAAGTAATTTCTGTAGCACACGGATTTAATACGACCGATCAATTTCCGCATCAAGCCTAATTTTTGGGTGATAGTTGTGTCCTTTGTATTCTCCGATCACTTGGCATCGTCGGAAAATGAATTCGATGATATCTCACCCCCCCTGAGTTTCTGTAACCATGTATTTGTGTTGCTGCGAAAAGGATGGGCGTTGAGACAAGACGTTGAGGGTGGGGCCGCCCAAGTGGGCTCGTCTGGCCACTCGCCGCCCTTCATCTACTTTTTTCTTCTTCTTTTTTTCCTGGTAAAAGTACTTTTTGAATTTTTACTAATTATTATTTTTTTTATCTTTTCATGGTTGTTATGCTTCAAACAGGTCGGACGTCAAAGTTCACTACAAAAAAATTGACTTTCAGCGGTGACTTTTGTCGCCGCTGAAAGTACAAAAGTCGCCGCCGAAAGTTTTTTGCGGCGACAAGTCGCCGCTGAAAAGTCGTTGCCGTAGCAGCCGTGGCTGAAAACTTTCAGTGGCGACTAAAAATGTCGCCGTTAAAAGATACTTTCAGCGGCGACTTTTAGAAGTTTCAGCGGCGACAAATGTCTATTTTTTTGTAGTGGTTGTGGTTGGCGTTTAACAATAATTGATCTTGATGTTGTGAATACAGATGTCTATTTACCTCTTTCTCTTTATATTTTTAAGTAACTTCTACTATCTCCACAATCTATTACTTTTTCACTATCCATCACTCTTCCACTATTCATTTACTTTCGTAACTCACTTCTATTCACATTCATGAGATTGATTATTAAGTATTTATTATTTAAGGATAATTGTAACATATGTATAAAACTATACCTATAAATAGGACATGTCATTTGTGTTGTAGTACAAGTAAAGAATTACAAAAGTTCTCTTATTCTCTTGCTTTCATCTTTCTACTTTTGTGGTTTCATTTTGGTTCTATTTCACAAGACGTTATCAGCACGAGATGCTCTTGTAATCGGAAGGTGTTGCAGTAAGGCTAATCAATTGCAAGGTAAATTTCTATATTACTTTTGTACTGATTTGTTTCATAACTATTCCATTCTCTTATTCATATTGATTTGTTTTATAACTATTCCATTCTCGTAATATTAATTTCCAATTAACTTTTATATAATAGTATTATCATGTCAAATCTCATGAAACTTGAGTTTGTGGCTCTTGATACTACTGGAAAGAATTATTTATCATGAATATTAAATGCAGAAATCCATCTAAATGCCAATGGTCTAGGAGACACAATCAAAAAAGACAACCAAGCATCTAACCAAGATAAAGCCAAAGCCATGAATTTTTTACGTCACTATTTGTATGAGGGGCTCAAGATTGAATATTTGACAATAAAAAATCTACTTGTTATTTGGAACAATTTAAAGGAGAGGTATGACCACCATAAACTATAATCCTTCCTAAAACTAGTTATGACTGGATGCATTTACGTTTACAAGACTTTAGATTTGTGATTGAATATAATTCTGTAATGTTTGGAATCAGTTCTCAACTAAAATTATGTGGAGAAAAGATTACTAATGAAAATATGTTAAAAAAAAAATTCTCCACATTTCATGCATCCAATATGCTCCTGCAGCAGCAATACCTTGAGAAATGTTTCAAAAAATATTCTGAATTAATTTCTTGCCTACTTGTGACAGAGCAAAATAGTGAACTTTTAATGAGGAATCATGAATCCCGTCCTACTGGCTCCACTCCATTCCCAGAAGCGAATGCAGTAGCAAGTGAATCAACCCGTAGCCATGGTCGTGGACGTGGACGTGGACGTGGACGTAGACGTAGACGTGGCCGTGGAGGTGGTCGTTTTCACTAGAAGGGGGCAAATAATAATGAGAATCACCAAAAAGAATCTAGTGGAAATAATAATCATGTCGAAAATCTTTGTTATCGTTGTGGTAGCAAGGGTCATTGGTATCGTACTTATCGTATGCCAAAACATTTAGTTGACCTCTACCAAGAATCATTGAAAGATAAGAATAAAAATAAAAATAAAGACAAAGAGCCAAAGGTGAAAACAAATTTTGTTGGAGAAGAAGGCGATTCTGATTATAGCAACATGGATGTTACTCATTTAGATGTTGCTGATTTTTTTGCCGATCCTGATAGAAGAATTGATCACTTAATTGGTGATAGAAATGTCAAAAAAATAAGTGATCTTGATGTATATATTTTATGCCTACAAAATTAGCTTTTTTAATTCAATTTCTTCCATTTGATTATATTTTCTATACCAAATGCCACCTGTTGTTCTTTTAGGGAAAAACATAGGTCAATTTGTTTACTTTCATATAGTCAAACTAGAAATTTCTTTCCCGTAATTGTATCATTTAAGATAGTTTAAGATTTATTTTTTACAGAAGTGTGTTTTTTTTATTCTTTCATATTGTATTTGAATTAAAGATGTGGAATTTAGGAAAAACATATGAAAATTTAAAATTAATTATTTATCTCTCCATTTAAACCCCAATTGACATATTATTTTATGATACTTCTCATTTAATTTAATATATTCAAATCCCAATTAAGATATTATTAAAATTCAAAATTAATTGTTAATTTCTTCATTTGAGCCTCCATTAAAATCTCATTTAATAATGATACTCCTCATTTAATTCAATATACCCAAATCCCAATTAAAATATTATTCAAATCTTATTATTAATTGAATATATTCGGATCTTATATTCGGATCTTAAAACTGAACGCACGCTTTTTTTATGCAAGAGCTATTAAAAAAAAAACCAGTCTAGGCAAAATGTGGGCCGATCAGAAGAAACCAGTCTATTCCAACCCATAAAAAGTGGACTAGGTTGGACTGGATTGGACATCAAGTCTAACTGGGTTTCAGACTAACTCTTTAGATTAGATAGTTTGATCTGACCTAGTGTCTATGTCTATTTTTTTAAAAATTTTATATAATGTTTGATTACCGCATACTTCTCTCTAATTTAGTTATTTGCAATATTTTCTATTTTATTTTTAGATTTGGTAAGTTTAATTTGTATATGTGAGATGATTGTATGGTCTTAGTAAAAAAAAAAAAAAGCTTCAAGTTTACAAGTTTTTTTTTCAAAAAAAAAAAAGATGAGTAGCCAAGCAGCCAAAAGCAATTTGGGGGGGTGTTTAGGTAACCCAATAACCACTTTTCAGAGGCACTTTTTCACAAATCAAGAAAAATTTCTCCACATATTTACACATATTTACTTCTTATACCGTAAAAGCACTTTTGAAACTATGGTTTTGATCTTATCCAAATACCTTTTTAGTAAATCGCAAAAAAAGACTTTAGCAATTGGCAAATTACAAATAGGGACCTGTTGTAATATTAGTATTGGTTTTAAAACAATTAATAAGCAATTGACAAAAAATTTTATGAATAGGTCTTTGTATGAAATTTTTTAATTGTAAAGGTTTGTTTTACAATTTTTTCAAGAATCAAATCTCGTGGATATAAGGAAATGGACTGAAGTTTTGTCCTTTTTACGCTTAATATTATGTAATTATTTATAAAATGTTACTAAATATAATTTGTAAAAGTGATTTGGTATATCAAATAAAATCAAATGAAAAAAAATTGAATAAAAAAACTGAAATTGTAGGTGTACAAAATTTTTTTTTATATTTCTATAGAAAACTGGTAAAATATAAAATATTAAGCAATGATAATATGAATTTAAAAATTATCAGTTGGAAATTTAAAGTTTACACTGCTGTGAAACTGTATAAATTTCAATGTAAAGTATTGCCAAAATTTACTATATTACCTTCCATGCAACTGGAAATTCATAATTATTCTTACCGTCAACAAAGCGATACACGTACAAACACACATACAGAAGAACAAAGGAAATCATAGGCAGTGAAATATACAAACAATAAAAACCTTTCACATAACATTTAAACTATAAAAACTCGGTTGAAATCGTTGCACCGTTGATCTATACTTTTTCTATGTGATGGGCCAAGGCAGGCGGTATCTGTGCATTTCGCACTTGGAGTGCACTTTACAGCAGACTGCTAATGATTGGCCTAACTAGTAAAGAATTGATCTGCAACCTATAAAGTTGTGAGCTACAATTCTACTATCAATGTAAGAGCTTTTGATGAGCAATTTATAGAGTTATCTCTATAAGTAGCTTTTGAGCCTAGAGACATATAATTCAACTCATTTGAATTTTTTTATTAAAAAAAAATCACAGCAGGTTGTACTCCTAGTTGCTGCTATCCTGACATCGAAAAACGCTACGTGGGAGTTCATCATCATCTGGAGCTTGGCACTAATCCAAGTCGCAACCGTTGATGAGGCAGTTGACGGAGCCGCCGCATGCGGTGGTGATGAGGTTGCTATTGACATTCATTGAAGTTGCCTTACCCTGATCTGCATAGACGGAAGACGATGCTCTCAGTGTCCCCTTCCCTCAGCGTCTCTTAGCATCCATATCGCATCCATTGAAGTTTATCTAACAGTTCAAAATTCTGCCACATCATTATGCTATTAAAAAATAAAAATAAATCCTAATCGTCCTGCAAAATTTTTAACCGGCTTTGAATTATTTTTGAAGACTTTTTAGCATAATATCCAATTTTTTTCACCAACCTCATTTCAACTAGAAGAGTTATGAGAAGTGACTTGGATAACCATAAAGGATGAAAAAACTTAAACACCAAATATTTATATATAGGTTTTCGGACTTATCCAATTTAAACAAAAAGATTCATCTCAATTCAGTCTAACACAAACCGTAGGACCATAAAGAGTTTCAAAACTATACCAAATTAAAACTAC